CCCGCCCACCCCTTCTGACTTACCGGCAGGAGGCAGCTCTCCATCCTGCCAACTCTGCTCTGTGCAGCATTTATCAGCCAAATTATCAGCCTAATTGGGCCAATATCAGATCTACAAAATCTTCTTTATATCGGTACCGATCTGATATCAGACCGATATCAGTGCACCTTTAGTTAAGGGGCTGAGGCGCACAACTTCTGAGAAGAGGCTGAGGGAACTGGGCTTATTTAGTCCGCAGAAAAGAAGAGTGGGAGGATCTGATAGCAACCTTTAACTACCCAAAGTTGTAGCAAGGGAGGTTTGGGTTGGATATTAGGAAAAATTCACTAGAAGAGTGGTGAAGCACTGGAAGGGGTTACCTACAGAGGTGGTGGAATCTCTATCCTTGGAGGTTTTAAAGGCCTGCCTCGACAAAGCCCTAGCTGGAATGACCTAGTTGGTGATGGTCCTACTTTGAGCAGGGGGCTGGACTAGATCACCTCCTGAGGTCCCTTCCAACCCTCATTTTCTATGATTCTATGAATTCAGAAATATTATCCTTAAATAATGTTTAATTTTTAATATTCAAATTATTCTTCAGAACCAGGAAGTCAGAATGAGACAAGTGAAATGTAAACATATATTTCAAAATATAAAATATTAAAGAAAAATACAAGTAAATTAAACAAAAATATTTCTCATCCACCTACTAACTAGACAACTGGTGCTCAACCTTTTGTCCCCATAGGCAAGATGAATGAGGCAGGGCTGGTCTGTGGGCCAGATCAAGCCCCCTATGCTGGAACTGGCCGGGGGGTGGGGGGTGGGAATCATGCCTGTGCATTGGGATAGGCCTCTGGGGGCTCAGCATCACTCCAGTGTGCCCCTGCATACCATATTTGATCCCTGGGGCCCCAGCACTGCCTCCCTCCCACTGGGACTGGTCCTTGGAGGCCTGGTACCACTGCCTGCTGTCCCAGAGCACTAAGACTGGGCCTTCAGGCCCAGTGCTACCCCCTGCCAGTTCCTTATTTGCTGGGACTGGACCTTGAAGCCTGTGTCAGTGCTGTATGCTAGAATCAGGTGCAAGGCCTGGGGCTCCCCACAGGTCCAGAAATTTGGTGAGATGAGCCCCCCCACCCTGTGCTAGACTGTAAAACCATGGGGGGAGAAAAAGCCGAGTCTTGAATTTGAGCACCAGCCTGGGACCAGGGCAGGAGTTGCTACCTGGGTAGCTCAAAGGTGGCTTGCGGGGGGGTAGCGAAACTGCAGGAGGTGCAGGGGAGCTGCTCTGGTTCTGATCCTGCCCCAGACCAGAACTGCTGCAGGCACATTGGGTAACTAGGGGGAGGGGTAGGGAAGAAGCAGGCATCGGGAGGAGGCAAGTGGCAGGGTTCTAGCTGCCTGCCCCCCTGCCACTGTTTTTCCGGTTGCAGTGGTGGGGCAGATTAATTTAAAAGGAACCCCCACAATAATTAGATTCTATACATACAAAATTATAACTAATTTCTAATTTTCCATGTATTAGAATCCAATCCAAATAATTAATTTTAAGAGGAGGTTGGATGACCATCTTACTGGGGTCGT